TGACCTTCTTCGGCACCTTCACAGCAGCCTGTTTGCCGCCGTGAAGGTCAGTGCTGGTTGCTGCACCCTTTTGGTGACCTCGATGTTGTCCAGCTTTACCTTCCTAGCTGCCCAAGGTCTGGCCTCATCCCACGGACAGAGTCTTAGCACCACCCTCCTTCCCCTGCACGAAAGGTAAAGGCGGCGGTGTTATAGAAGCTCCTTGCCTTGAGAAGCCTTCCCTTGTACCCCTTGTCATAGTGTTGCGATGTTGTTATGATGTTGTGACGTTGGCCTTGGTCCTTCCTCGGGCAAGCGCTGGTGTTGTCCGTGATGTTGCTCGAGCCTCGACCAAAACCTCTCAAAGCACCCCACCCCCTTGAGCCCACCAACCCCCGATGCACCCTCTGTGAAGCCATCAGGAGGTTGTAGTCCTGCTCTTGGAATGTGGGCTGCCTCGACACCCTGCGCCTCCGCCTCGGGGGTGGTTGAGCAATGTCTTCTCGACTTCGGCAAATCGCTCCCTCAACTTGCAACCACAGGACTCTCGCCGCCCAGACGGCGCATACTCAACTCTTTGATAGACTCACATACCACAGAGAGCTCTACCAAAAGTGTAGGAACGGCAACGTGCGCAACGAGACCGCCTCGCAGCCTCCCCGCCACAGGTACTAAACGGCAAGCCGAAGAAACCACGCCCTCCCCTTCGCCTCTGCGCGGGGAAAACTTCAGCGGACGCAAACGACACCCTCATGCTCCACAACGTCGAGCAACTCGCACCATAACCGGCTGTCAGGTCGATAACATCATGGTGCCTGATCGGAAACCATCTTACACGAGTCCGCGGCGATGGCAACAAGAAGTCTTCTCGAAGACGGCGGCAGACCACTCCAAGGCGCGCACCACCCCAGAAATGCTACTCTTGAATAGAAAGGGCTGGCCAGACAACAAAGAAGCTGAACGGAAGACCCTCTATACTCCGCAACCATGATTGCAACACATCCTGCGCACGACGGCGAGGCATCATGTCAACGCAGTCACCACCTTCGGAATACTGCTCTTGGATACGAAAGGCTAACCAGGCAACACAGAAGTAGGTTGGCGACCATTGGACTCAACACGAACATAGTTCATCCCTTGAAACCAAAGCGGCTCTCGGAAGCGGACACCATAGTCGAGCAGACACAACGACCGACTCCGCGGGAGTCCGCCCAACACCAGGACGAGGATACTCGTTGGCGGCTTCTGGACCGTACCCCGCGCAACTGCGAACGATACCCCTGTGAGATTCGAGTCGACACAACACAAACGCCACTCTCGAGGTCGGTGTGGCTTCCTGTGGTAGGCTGGGACATCAACAACGCGGAGAATGGTCCATGTGTGCGCACTTTGCAAATACCATCAGGAAGGTCCAATACGAGCATGCATCAGGCATCGCCACAACCATGCGGGACATTGGAAGCCGAGGGGCATGCTACTTTGACCGGGACGCGGATCAGAACATCGGGGCAAGGTACTTGTGATGCCGTTTGGTGACAGCCGGATGGCCTCCACATCGGACCGAGCGCTTAATCGGTATCCCAGAAGAGGTTCACAAACGTCGGTTGCGACAGGGTTCCTTCGAGTCGGGCAGCCCGATCTGTGACAATGCCATACGTACCTTAGAGCAGCATACGATGCCGGCAAACATCCTGCAACGACAAACAGAATTCCAAAAGCCCACGGCCGAAGAACGAGCGACCGTTTGAACAAGGCCTCAGGCGGCGAACAGACGTGCGGGCGCATCGTTGACTGGAGGTACCGCGGGGCTTGGTTGTCCTCAATAACGCCAACGCTGTGCGCAAAATGCGGGGTTGTCAGGATGCCGCGCAGCCAATATGCAGAGCCGAAAGAGGAGACTGTCCAACAGCATGCCGTGCCTCGTGTGCTCGACACCAGCCAAAGACACACTGTAATACCCTGTCGGCTGCAGATGGCGAACATGTCGCGAACCACTCAGGAGTCTTCGCGGGATATGTTGGTCGTTAGCTCCAGGAACGCTCGTTGTGTAGCCATCGGTTGCGATACGTATATCAAGGGCGGCGTCGAATAGGAGAGGCCCAGACGTGTCCACAGAGATCAACGCGCTGAGCGGGGCATGCCGCGGGTGCGTCAAGCAGCTAAAGAGCTTAGTATTGAGGCCATGGTTGTCGTCGAGACCGCGTGACCTGTTACACTCTAGGGCTGAAAGTGTCCGCAGTGCTGCTTAAAACTGTTCCGGGGTGCGATAGCCTGACGGGGATGCAGCGTGACTGATGGCGCTTGAAGCGAAACAGAATGGCGTGCAGCAAGCATGAAGCCCTAGAAGAGAAGGGATGGATGTCTTCCGACGGGCCCAACCGAGTCCAGACAGAAGAAATGAGGGGTTCGTTGACGAAACCCCAGCCATGCAGCCCAACGCATCGTCGATCAGGAATTGGGCTAAAGAAGAAGGATGAATCCTGATGAAAGTCGATGAAGCTGTGTTGTCGAGAGGTGGTTACAAGAGGTTTGACGAAGGCCGACGGTTGGATGAACCGGGCCCTGTCCGGCGAGCTTCGCTACCCCCCAACAGCGCAGCAATTTGCAGGAGTTCGCCTGAAGCATACACGGCTAGCCAGAGTTGGGATGGCCGTCTCCGCATTTCCTGCGCAACGACCCTTCACAAGCCCCTGACCCTTGGCCAGCCCGGTGAGCTGCAGAAGCCTCAAAGGCGTTGCATGTCTGCTTGTCTCAGAGACTTACGTCTCGTCTCCTGTAATGAGCATCCTGCCTCGCCTTCCTCCTCTTGCCTCCCTGTCAGCCACATTTCGAAGTCTTTGAGATCGCCGTAAGCTCGCCGCGCTTGGGCTGGTGGAGTCGTCTCCTGATCTGACAAGGCGCGCGGAACGCAGGGTGTCTGCCGCGTCTGCTTCCCAACGTTTCGAACGATCGCCAAGGCGAAACTCTGCTGCTGTCAGTCTGGCCTCTGCGGACGGTGCCCTCCCTATTATATTCATCTGTTCTGCCGTCCATGTCAGAGGGCGACATGTGCTTGCTCTAGTAGTCGCACGTCCATCCTCCGAACATTTGTCCTTGATCTGCGGGACAGCCTTGGGTTTAGCAGCGTGGCGCTTCCCCACACTCCAAGGACCCGGTGCCTTCTTGCCGATCCTAGGCTTGTGTGATTCCATGCGACGACTGATGCCATAGCGGATCGTGTTCGTGTTCGATATCTTCGAGAAGAAAGACTAGGGATAGACTGGTTCAAGAGTTTGGCGCTTGGTTTGCGACGTTTTGAGGTATGTCTTCGCCGATCTGCGACGGTTGTGCCCGCGCAGCTTCGTGTCGCAGAGCTTGGGGCTCTCGTCCAATGCTAATCGGCTTCCAAATCAGTTTGTTTGAATAGAGTCATTGTGGGATAGAATATACCAGGTATGTATCCCTTCCTTTGGCATTCCGCGTCGTGCGCACGTTGTCGTCGCGCCCGTCCGCTGCGGCGGCGGGTCTGCGGCGTATCCAGGCTCTGCGATGTCGTGCATGTATATGCAATCACCATGAGGCTGACGATGTTGGATAGGATATACCGCCCTTCTCCCGATAGATCTGCTTTGGGCATCGAGCTCCGCGTCACGTAATTCTCTAGACAAAGTTCTGTTAACTAGGTAAGCAGAGTCAGCCTTTCTTTATATCTTTTCCTTACTGCAGCTGCTCTCTTCGGTGTGAGCGTCCCTGCATACGGTTCTCAGGCGCGCTGTTCGGGGGCGAGTGGTGTTGTGGAAGATGTCGCGGTATGTACCGGCGTTGGCGGAGTTGAGGTTGTGCGGGAGCAGGTCAGCGCCGTCAACACCACGCACTGCATCACGACTCTGGACATGCAGAAGCACCCTATTCGCCTCGGAAGAGTCTCTGTAGGATGTTCTGACGGGTAGAGCTGCTTGCATCAAGTTCTCGGGGGTGTCCAGTTGGCGTGTGTGGGCGGGGCGACAGCAAGCCAACTCTCCTGAGCATTGTCACTCGAACAGCAGCATCATCTCATTCTACGTTCCTATGAGGAGGATCATTGGGAGCAATTCAAGCTTTCTGCTGTCCTCATCCTGTTATTCTTCAGCGCGGCCTCTTCCTGGCCCCTATGTTCATTGCTAAGACGACTGGCCGACAGTAATCTCTAAAGCCATCCGTGCACGGCGTTCCTGCCTCGAGCATCGCCAACGGTCTTTCCTCCAGCGCTTGAAAGCGGTAATCAAGCCAGCTGACTGTCGCATTTCGGTGCTGGCTCGTAAAACCCCGCTGCCGACGTCGTTTTCTGCTTCCTTCTTCCTCCACCACCATCTTTCCCATCATCTCACTCCCACAACCCTCACCACGCCCTGCATCCGATTCTGCTTGCAGGAGCGGTTGCTTCACGGCTTTCTACCACCCCTAAGCGTCCTGAAGTGCCGCATCAGCACCATACACGCTGTCTTCAGGTCGTCAAGTACGCATCTAGCGATAGACACATCTGCTTCCGAAATCTACAGTCCAGGTATGTATTCTCATCTCATCTCATCTCACCACCTTCCGCTTCTCGGGCACGTCCGGCGCTCCCGTTGTTTGCATCGTGGTCTGGCCGCATGCCATCAGAGTGCCCCGCCCTTCACCTACGCTGGCTGGCCACCTTCACCGTTTGCCCCCACGTATGCCCTCACGTCTACCTTCACCGCTGCCTTTACCTCTCTCACCCTTAATACCCCGCTCCTTATCGCCCCTTCTGATGACGTCGGCGCTAACATATTGCGCGTTTGCGATTAGAGGTGAAGGCGACATAAAGACATACCACCTGCCTAGACATTATATCTTCTTACACCCTCGACCACGCAACATAGCATCTACCCTGTGCATCACAGACATCTTCCGTGTGCAGATAGTGTGCATCAAGACACCCCCCTATTCATCCCCATTCCAGCAACTCTTCAAGGTACGTCCAGCCACTGTCTTGTCATCCATGACAAGGAGATCACTGACGTCTTCAAGGTAGACCATCCATGATGAGTAATAACCCTTACAACCGCGGCTTGACCGTCGGTGGTTCAGCGCTCGAGAAGTCGAAGTTGCAACTCCGACGTCCCACCCCTGACAGCGATGTCTTGGCGTCCAGCGACGACGACCGCGAGCATGTGCCAGTCGTTACTCGCCCTGCGCAAGGCTCCTACCCTCTCGGTGTTCGACGTCCCTCTTCTGGTTGGCTCCAAGATATCCAGCCCAACCGGAAGTTCTCGCTGCCCTCGGTGTCGTTTGCCGGCTCGCAGCCCACAACACCGTCACTCGAGTTGCCCCAGCAGTCCCGTCCGTCCACGTCGTCGTTCCCCTGGAACACGCCTAGCTTCAACGGTTTGAATCGACCCAACAAAGAGATCGCTCCCTCCCCTACTTCTGCTTTCGCACCCACCGACAAGCCTATTCCCTCCCCCACCACAGTTGAAGGCGACGACGGTAACGGTATTGGCTTTTTGCTCAACCAACAAGCTCCCAATCCCTTCCGCAAGGCTGTCCGTTCCCAGTCCTATAGCATAGGTCAAGGCGATATCGAGCACAGTCCTGTCAGCCGTTTCTCGCGTCAGCCTAACACCAGCGCAAATCTCCGCCACCGACCCTCCAAGCCCAGCCTCCTTGGTGAGTCCGCTGTCGGCCTTTCGCAACTGCGTGAAGACGACGCCGACGAGATCGAGTCCTCCAACGGCTCAGAGCACGGAGTCCGCCTGCCCGCCGGTTACTGGGAGCGTGAGCAGAAGCAAGCCTTGCTCAAACAAGCCGCCATGGAGAACGCTCGCGCCCGCAGCAGGGCTACCTCCACTGGCTCCCCTGTCTCCCAGCTTCAGCAGCAGCGCCGCAAGACGACTGCCGGTCTGCGCAACACCTCGTACAACGCCGCCGGTGAGTATGCCATCGAAGAGCTCGACGACACTGAGCCTGCGGTCAACCGTCCTGCCCCAGGCCTTACCCGTCGCTTCAGCGAGCACGTCGGTGTCCTCAACCGTGATCACGAAGTCGAGATCGTGGACAGTCCTCAGAAGCCCCAGTGGACCACAGGCAACATCTCACCTGCTGAGATGGACCCCCTCGGCCGCCGTCATTCGTTCGCCCACTACGGTAGCTACAACTCAGCCATGCCGCTCTCAACCTTGAGCAACACTCAGGAAGAAGAGGAGGAGTACGTCTCACCCCGCCAGAGCCCACGTGGCAACAAGGACGACGAGCCCTTCGACGCCTCTGCCTACTTCACTGGCTACGGCCCGGCCTCGCGCGCTATCAACTCCTCCGCCATCTCGGCAGCTCACCCCGATCCTGTCGTGCCCAACATGGCCATGTCTGCTGGCAACCCCTACGCGGTCCCTCCTAGAATCGGAAACCCCACCCGCCGCTTGTACATTGTCACCTTCAAGTGCTCTCGTGCCGACATCTACTACCTTTACGACAACACCGGCCTCGAGATCCGTCGTGGCGACCTTGTCATCACCGAAGGCGACCGTGGATGCGACCTGGGCCAGATCACTCATGCCGACTTGACCATGGAGGAGGCTAAGAAGCTCAAGGTTGAGGCGAACGAGGAGCACTTCCGCTGGCTCGTCATGTTCTCTCAGTACTCCCTGGCCGGCACCCAGAACGACTCCGGCATGCTCGGCGCCCTCGCCCGTGCTAATGGATTCCCGAACCCCATGAGCCGTACCCCAGTGACTGCTTCGGGTGAGCCTGAACCGTTCAAGCCGAAGATGATCAAGCGTCTTGCTCAGGCCCATGAGATCTCTGCGCTACGTGAGAAGGAGGGTGGAGAGGCCAAGGCCAAGCGTCTCGGAGCTCAGAAGGCCGCTGACCACAAGCTGCCTATGGAGATCCTCGATGCTGAGTACCAGGCGTAAGTCAAACATGTTCATGTTGCTTTGATCATACTAACATCTTCAGTGATTACCACAAGCTCACCTACTTCTACTACGCCGAGTCGTATGTCAACTTCAACGAGCTCGTCACCGACCTGTTCAAGCAGTACAAGGTGCGCATCTGGATGTCGGCTGTCAACCCTGCCTCCGTCGTCAACCCTGCCGGCATGTCCCAGATCCCGCCGCCTTCTGCCATCGGTCCTGGTGCTATCATCACATCCAACAGCGGCAATGCTTCTTCCTCTGTCGGCCCTGGCTTCGGCTCCAACACCCATCGCCCGGCCCAGCAGTACGGTAAGTCCATCGTCGTCTCCTTGCTACGTGTGTATGATTGCTAACTATCGCTCAGGTCAAGCTCGCACCCAGGGCAACTACGGTAACTACGACGACGGCTTCCACGCGTTCTCCCACCAGATCCCGGCCTACCCTACCCAGCCCTCATACAACATGCAGCCTTGGGCCCATGGTCAGCAGATGCAGCAGCAGATGTACCGTAACTACTACCCCAACGTCACTGCGAGCGGCAGCCCGATGAACTATGGAGCTGGAGCCTACTATCCGCCTTCGACTTACACTTCGTCATACGGTGGAGGGTATGGGCCTGCTACAACTACTGCTGGATACGCTGCCTCGCGCAACTACACCTCCAGTACCGGCCACGCCTTCGGTCATCAGCATCACAACGCGTACAACGGTGGCGCTTCGTACTCTGCTGGCGGTGGCTACACCAACGCCTACGCCAATGCCCAGTACACCTCAGCTGCTCCTGGAGGATACTATGGCGCCTCAGGAGGACGTGGTCGCCCCAACACTGGCGCTGACAGCACCTTGAATGGTGCCATGCACAACTTGTCTTTCGGTAACTGAAGAGAGAATGGACTGTCAGGTCAAGTTCTCTTCAAGATTTCTTTTCGGTTTTTGATCATTATATGGTATTTCCTTTTCATTTTCCTTTCACCCACGAGTTCAAGGTTTATGGAGACTGCCCGGTGAGGTAAGTCATTTTTCCTTCATGATTTTTCTTGATTTTTCTTGCTTTCACCACCAAAAATTCCCCATGAATGCGTGTATTTTAGTTATATATCATGCCTATATGGCGAAATGAGAATGCTTCTGGCACCAAAAAACTGTCTTTTGTGAATGTTGTGGTATCTGCCAGGCCTATATATCAGGGTTGAGATGATCCTGCCAAAATCACTGAATACCTCCTGGCCTAATTTTCGTGAAGTGTTTCAACACCTTGACTACCTCCCGGCACCCCAGAGATAAAATCCCTGAAGCCCGTGGGCTGATTGAGTACCTCCCGGCCTATATTTCAGGATTTTTCTGTAAACTAAAAATGTGATGTCGCCTTCACGCCTACCTCAAATATTGACACCGGGTGGCACCTTCCTCACCAATCTGCAATATCATCTCACCTTTTCACATACCAACCCTACCATCCCAACCATGGCGCGCCGACATGCCTCACCCGCGCCTGAGAGCCAGCAAATGCTTTCACTCAGTCGTCTTCTCGAGAAGCCAAAGAAAGATGACGCTCCGATGCAGGAATTCCGCGCCACGATAAATGCCGATCAGAAGAAGTACAACGCACTACTAGCACAGCGAAAGCTCCAAGCGTGAGTCAATCTCTCATCATCTGCAATGCTACTCTAACAGCCACTGTAGCGAGAAGGAACAAGAGCGCCGTCGCGAAGAACTCACCTCCACCGTCTTCGAAGCCCTGCAAACCCCCAACCGACCAGCAAAGGGCGAGCCCGAAACCTTCGCAGGCACACAAATCGCAGGCAACGCAGTCTACACCTCCGTCAGCAGTGTCCTACGCGCATCCGAGGCCCTCGTCAACGAATACCAGAGGCTAGACGGCATGATTGCGAAACTACGAGAAGAGCAGCCCGATACTATCGCAGACACATGGAAGCAGGACATCGAGGACACGGACAAGCAGCTCAAGAAGGGCGCGAGAGTTGCGCTGAGGAATGTCAAGAAGGTGCTCGGAGCTGATGTGGAGGACTCTGTGATGACGGACGAAGATGGCGATGTGGATATGGAGGGAGACGAGAAGGTGGAGCTGAACTATGAGCTGCAGAAGAGTTTGAGGTATGCGGAGAGGGGTGTTAAGAGGATGGTCAAGGGATTGCCGATGGGTGATGGCTGCTAGGTATGAGCGGTATTGTGTTGTTCATGGCGACGTGTGGGTGGGCACGAGGAACGAAGCTTCAAATGGCGATGGTTCAGACAAGCCGTGGTAACAATGCAGACACCTCAGTGCTGCAATCGACGGATTTTGTAGAACTTCCTAATTCGGAGTACACAAGGAACAGAGCAGAACACCAGCATCCGACCTGCGCAAGAGCGACCTCAGAGCATTGCTCATGGGAAGACACTAGATATGAAAGCTTCATCACTCTACTCTCGTTACTTACAGCCACACAAGAAAACGGCCTTCGCACTTGTCTCGAAATTTGGTGTTCGCATCTTCTCCGTCAGGCTCGGCGGGGCCATGTTGTTCTGACCGACTCGTGTCAGGCTGCGCGTTGCCTCGTCAAGCTAGCGCCTCGCACGGCCCCGCCCACACAGTGCGAAATACCTGTCGTATCATCTTTTCGCAACCTCCAGCACGACAGCGTCGACAATCTACTAACCAACAGTCAAGGTACGTCCCTCCAATATTGCTGAACCTCGCCGGCTCTATACTAACAATACCGCAGATGGGTGCCCTCAAGTGTAAGCGCACATCGAACACCGCAATTGCCCGCTCGTAGCTGATCCGCCGCAGATGTCGAAGAACTTCAGAAGAAGAAGCAGTCGGACATGATGCGCTTCTTGATGCGCGTTCGCGTACGTATAACCGATTGAGCTGGACAAAGGACTCTGCTAACATTGCAACAGTGCTGGGAGGTATGATTATCCCGAGACCCATGTCTCAATTGGTGTACTCGTTGAACTTTGCTGAGAGTGCATCGATAGCTTCGCCAACTTAAGGTCATCCACCGCGCAAGCCGCCCCTCGCGCCCCGACAAGGCCCGCCGTCTCGGATACAAGGCCAAGCAGGGTTACGTTATCTACCGCATCCGCGTCCGCCGTGGAGGTCGCAAGAGGCAGGCTCCCAAGTACGTACAACCGAGATCTTGAACAAGAGGACTATGCTAACATCGTGTTCTAGGGGCGCCACCTACGGTACGCATCATGCAATCGGATCGCTATGGAACGAAAAACTGACAATCGAACAGGAAAGCCTACCAACCAGGGTATCAACCAGCTCAAGTACCAGCGCTCTCTCAAGTCCACCGCTGAGGAGCGTATCGGCCGCCGCTGCGCCAACTTGCGCGTGCTCAACTCCTACTGGATCAACCAGGACTCGACCTACAAGTACTACGAGGTCATCTGCGTCGACCCCCAGCACAAGGCCATCCGCCGCGATCCTCGCATCAACTGGATCACAAAGGCCGTCCACAAGCACCGCGAGGCTCGTGGTCTCACCGCCACTGGCAAGAAGAGCCGTGGTCTCGGCCGTGGACACAAGTTCAACAACACCACTGCTGGAAGGAGGAAGACCTGGAAGAGGCACAACACCCTCTCCCTCTGGCGCTACCGTTAAATGCATTGAGCATATGGTGTGCTTGGTGCAACGTCTGGTCGATTGTTTTCAGCGTATGGGCTGGCGTGAATGGCATAGGGTGTCCTGGGCTACGTAGCTTCCTAGCAGCAAAAAAGCTGTCAGGACTTTCAAAATCATACCGGATTCATGATCTTTACGAAGACAACACTTCAGTTTTTATCCATTGCAATGTGAAATGTCAGGAATCAAATGTGAAGATGCTGCGGTTGAGGATGGCGTTGTATTGGCCACATTCGGAAGGATCGAGTGTGCCTTGGTATAGCCAAGAGCGAATACAGGACTTTCACATGGGTCGCTGACCGGTACCGGTATTGGTAAGACAGCTGCACCATCGACGTCAGACATACGGCAAAACCAAGATTAATGCGCTGTACTCGCTGTGACCTTTTCCGTTCATGCTTGGATGATTGCGACATATATGGTATTCGAGAGCCCAGAAGTAATTAGTACAGGGTTCTTCTCGTGGCCAGGTCGGGCGTTGCTAAGCGTTGCCGTAGGCCCCTCTCAGCCAAAACATCAGCCCAAAACACATGCAGAGCACCTCGCCAGCGCAACAAGCGACCGCAGCTCCAATAGACGCAAAGGGTAACCACACCTCTCTGCAACACTGACGACATGCGGCTGACAAGGTGAGAAATCCAGACTTTTGCTGTTTCCGTGGTTCAGCTTCCATTACACAATGTGCCGACGTCCACGCGCAGCCAGCATCATCTGAGCAGCACTGCCCTGCCACACGACAAGGCAGTCAACGGGCAACCCCCACCAGGCTGCTTGACGACTAGAGCTGCCTACAAGAGCAGAGTGCGCGCACTGTGCAACCTCCCGCCAGCCTCTTCACTCCCGTCTCTTCGCCAATACCGCCGCCATGGTCAAAGCCGATGCCACGCGAAACTACTATGCCGACCTGAAGGTATCCCCGACGGCCAGCGAGAACGAGATCCGCAAGGCTTTCCGAACGCTGGCGCTGCAGTATCACCCAGATCGAAACCCCGGGCGCGAAGCCGAATTCGTCGTCCGCTTCCAAGAGATCCAGGCCGCACACGAGATACTATGCGATGCCAGCCTACGAGCCAAGTACGACGCCGATAGAAGGAAATACCGCAATGTATCTGCTCCTGGCCACACGCCCAACACACCGCGAACGAGACCGCCGCCGCCTCCGAGAAATGCATATACGACAACCACCCCGCAAGGCTCGTACTATCGCGCACCTCCGCCGAAACCGCAGCCGCAGGCCCAGCGCCCTCCCCCACCGCAGCAACACCACAGCACATACAACACCGGTGCGGACAGGTTCTCGGGCAGGAACTTCCGCGCGCCGCCAACAGCGCAACGACCGGACACAAAGGCCAGGGATGCAGAGGCTCGCGCGAATGTCTTCACGGCATGGCAGAAGATGAAGCAGCCACGGGGTGAGGACCCTCGGCAGCACAACCCAAGCGCCCAGAGCAGTCCGCACACCAATCCGCAGAACAACCCCAATGGCACCCCCTTTGGCCGCAGCCAGAGCACCAGGGTCCCATCGTCTAAGACTGGGTTTGACCCATCAACACCAGGCGTCGATGAAGGCCAGGCACGGTCAGCGTATAGGAACTATGCCCGTCCGGCTCCAACCCCACCCATGTCCACGACTCCTGATGTGGATAGCCATGGCGACGACGTCCCATACTCAGAGGCCAACCGGGTTCGCACACCATATCACTCCCATGTAGCTGGCGAGCGTACCTCCATGTTCGAAGGCCTTGGACGGTCGTCCAGTGTGCGCAACTCACCAACACACTCGCACCGAGCAAGTTATTCGCAAGATGGGGGCGCCTTCTCAGACTCGGGTCGCAGAACACAAGGGAAGAAGGCCAGCGCGAAACCGAACCCATTCGCTCACGGGTATCCCGACTCTAGCGACGAAGAATCCGACTCGGAAGCGTCCAACATTGGCAACAAACACCGTGACCCTCCTCCACCACCTCAAACCACACGACCGCCTCCGCCAACCTGGTCAGAAGGTAACTTCACGACTCCTGATCCGAATCGACAGAGCAACGGCGTGCCAGGGAACATACCCAACAGCTTCAAGAGCAGGAGTGAAGAAAGCATCAACTTGAAATTCTCGCCTTCGGACTGGCATGGCAAGTTCGAAGGCAGTGGCAGTTACTTTGCTCCTAACATGCAAAAAGGTGCCAACGGAAAAGGCCGAGCCTCTCCAACCCGCGGCAGATCACAGCGAAATGCGACAGACCGCAACCCCTTCAGCACGCGGCCGATGGACCCGCCTCCCGTCGCGCCCAACGGACAGCCAATACCTCCTCCTCCACCGGGGCCACCACCGGGTGTCAACTTCGCCCCACCTAAGATGGCGCCACACACTGCCAAGTTCAGTCCTCAAGCCTGGCAAGAGACGTTCAAGGATCCAAACTGGGTATACAATCAGGAGAAGGAGACATCGCCGCGTCGACCATCAGAGGCTACGAAACGTCCAAAGGCTGCCCGAAAGGCTTCGGTACAGCAGAACGGGGCGTCGAAGCCCCAGGAATCAACCGACTCAGCTAGATCCAAGTACCAGGCCTTTGCAGAAGAGCCAGCCAATGGTGATGTAGATGCCATGGATATCGACCCTGTCCCACCACCAAGCGCGAAGCCCGCAAAGAAGGGAACGCGTACATCACCAAGACTGAACACGGCAGGTGCACAGGCGACACCGAATGGCTCTGCTACTGCACCTTCTTCTGCGACCACTGCAAAACCACCAGCCGAAGGACTGAACGGTCTTGGTCCAGACTTGATCAATCCGGTCGTGGAGCCTCAAAACAACGGACTTTCCGGCTTGGGATCTGTAATGGATGCTCTCCCTTTTCCTTCCGGCGCATCCAACTCACATCCCATCAAGGCAAACGCTGCAAAGAATCTTAAGTATCCAGATATACCTCGTGCACCTATTCCACCTACCAAGCTGGATGTGGCTTCCGTAAACACGTACTTCGACCACATGGGCGTTTATGTCAAATCCTACAGAGCGTACTGTCAAACCCTTACTAGCCACTTTGCTGCGCGGAGCAGCGAGATGGAGGATTTAGATCATCACTTCATCCACCAGCGCGGCGAGACTACCAGGGGAATTGGGTTTGCGAGCTACATGGCCAAGATGGAAGAGGATGAAAGTGTCATGGAAACATGGAAGCTTGCGCAAGAAAAGCACATCACTGCGCTGCAGCAGTGTGCCGATGTGCGGAACAAGACCATGAAGTTGTACCAGCCCCTACAGACCTGAGCCTGGCGCTTTGTCGCTTGCTTTAGTTTGCAGGTGTGCTGACGTGTCCTAGAGCGGCCCGTTGCCAAGGAGAGGGCAGACGCCGGGACCTTCATGACGTTGTCGAAGAGCTGCAGGAGTTCACTTTGAAAGAGACGCAGTCCGTTCCTACGCATGCGGCATCTTCGCGCCGACGCACGTCTAGTTCAGTTCTTGGTATGAGGATCTCGAGCGCGTTCCGCCCTGCTGCACGCAGTCCGCCGAATATGGACGGTGGTATCGAGATCTTGACAGGTAGAAGTGCGCCGAAACCCCAGCCACTGCTGTCGTGGAAGAAGAAATATCATGTTCTTGGGTAGCGATGGCGTTTGGGCTGAGCATTTAATACCCCCGATGCAGCTTCCAGGTTGCTACGTCATTGGATGTCTTCACGGTTCTGCACATGTAATTGTAGTAATATAGATATCGGTCATGGTATAAAAAGCAGGAACCCTACAACGTAATCTTTGGATACACGTAACAACTTCTTACCCTGCATGTCACCCGCACCCTGGATCTGCATCTTGCGCGAACCTGACTCCCGCGGTTGCAGCGCATGACGCCCGCCGACCCGAGGCAGATTAGCAGTTAGCACTAGAAGCACGCGCTTGTGCGGGCGGAAGAATAGACGGCTAAACAGCACGCCGAACTTCCATCCATCTCTTCATCCACAGCGGACACCATTGTACCGCGATTGAGCAATACTAAGTGGTATGACCGTCTTGGATCCAACTGCAATTTGCTTGGCTTCAGGATAGCCGTCCCGCCGGGTAAATAGGAGAGCGGCTGGCAGCCATCGTGGGGCAGACTACCCCTCCATTCATAAGGGCCCATGGGGAAGGGCAACGTATAGCTATATAACATTGCTGCTTTTTGCAATTCAATTATCTATCTGTCTCAACATCAACCAAGAACTCAAACACACACATACATACAAACAAACACAATCATGGCAGACAAAGAACCAATCGTAACCCACGTCTTCACGGCAGACCCCTCGGCCCACGTCTTCAATGGCAAACTCTACGTCTACCCCTCGCACGACCGCGAGACAGACATCGCCGACAACGACAACGGCGACCAATACGACATGAACGACTACCACGTCTTCAGCATGGAACAAGTCGGCGGCCCCGTCACCGACCACGGCGTAGCCCTCAAGCAAGAAGACATTCCCTGGGTGCAAAAACAACTCTGGGCCCCTGACGCCGCAACCAAGAACGGGAAATACTATCTCTTCTTCCCGGCCCGCGATAAGGAGGGTATTTTCCGTGTGGGTGTTGCGAGCGGCGATAAGCCAGAGGGCCCGTTTAAACCGGAGGCTGAACCTATCAAGGGGAGCTTCAGTATTGATCCGGCGAGTTTTGTGGATGAGGATGGGAGTGCGTATTTGTATTTTGGCGGGATTTGGGGTGGGCAGTTGCAGTGTTGGAAGACGGGGGAGTTTGTCCGCGAGGACTATGAGAGTATGGAGGCGTCGTCTGGACCGGCGCTCTGCGCGAAGGTAGCGAAATTGTCGGATGACATGACGACTTTCACCTCGGAGGTCAAGGATGTTGTTATCCTTGACGAGGCGGGCCAGCCTATTCAGGCGGAGGACCACGACAGGAGGTTCTTTGAGGCGGCGTGGATGCACAAGTATAATGGGAAGTACTACTTCTCGTACTCGACTGGAGACACGCATTTCTTGTGCTATGCGATTGGAGATAGCCCGCTTGGGCCGTTTACATACGGGGGGAGGATCTTGGAGCCGGTGATTGGGTGGACGACGCATCACAGTATTGCGGAGTTCAAGGGGAAGTGGTATTTGTTTTACCATGATAGCAGTTTGAGCAAGGGCGTTAACCATCTGCGGTGTGTTAAGATTAGGGAGATTGTTTATGATGAGGCGGGGAAGATCAAGCTTGCGGAGAGTCAGCCTAAGGTTATGTAAGGGGTTGGTTGTTTGAGGGGTGGTTGCGTTGCGTTGCTATGTAGGATGGGAGGATGGGAACCATCTCCACCAAAAGAACTTCTTTATCCAATCCAACTTTCCGCGTCGTTCAACAGGATACGTTCCCTGCTTCACAGGTTCCTCTTCCATTGTCGACAAAGACACATCATCCCTCACTTCCTCACACCTGCTCTTCCTCTCCACCGCCCTCTGAATCTTGCCCTGCCGTCTCTCTTTCTTCCTCCGCTCAATCCCCTCCAACCTCTTCCTAATCTCCTTCGCCAAATCACACCTAAAAATCCGCTCATCATCCTCCTTCTCCTCAACCACAACCCCATCTCCCTCCCCCCTCCCCAAAACCCTCTCCGCCTCAACCCCCGCCTCCCACTCCCCCCACCCCACCATCTCCATATTCCTCACAAACCACATCCTAAACAGCTCATCCGGCAACTCGCAAAACGGCGCCGGAAACTGCTCTTTCCTGATATACGGATTAGACAGTATGTTGCCCATTTCCGGTACTAATCCCGCTCCCTGGATACGGTTTCTCGTCCAGCTTGTGCCGATGGAAGAGCAACTAGCCGGTACATTGACCTTCTCATACCGAACCAGTTTGTCGATGCGGAAATCCCCGAATTGAGGGTATATGGGTCCGTCGCGGTATTCCGTCGAGCGTATGAGGAGGCGGGGGAAGGTGGAGGGGGCTTGGAAGGGCATTTCGACTAGTCCGCTTGCTTCCAGCTTTTTGGAGGGGAGTATGCCGCGGGGATCCAGGGTGTAGTAGGCTGGTTCTTTGTATATGTGTTTTTCGCCCTTCCATTTTGGGGGTGATGCGACGGAGTCTGTTTTCCAGGAGGGCGGTTTGGAGAGGAAAAGGTTTTTGCTGATGGGGGCGTAGATGTTTGACAGGGCTTCTGCGTGGAGAGGGGTTGTGGAGAAGTTTGGGGTGTGGAGGCGGCGGGTGGTGGGTAGGCCGGTTTTGGGTGGTGTGGTGGACATTTTGGAGAGTGCTACGGTAGTGCTTGACGGTTTTGGTGAAAGTGGTAGTAGTGCTGTATTTTGGAGTTGAGAAGATCTGTGATGCTTAGAAGTAGGTGCGGCATATTAAATATATACTTGGTGTCAAATTGGTGTTGTGGCATATTGCTCATGTCTTTCCGTGGTTGAGTTAAGTGGGTTGGCCAGTCATGTCTCTCCTAATGGTATCAACTGAAGTTCTTTCGAGGATTTGTACGATACGTCAGTCTTTCTGTTTTCCAACCAGGGTAGCGACGTATCCTTGGAGGTCATTCGCTTGTTGCAAAACGTGGCTACCGTAGTTGCCTACCCTCCGTATCCACTCTGCCGTCGAACACCCAGAACTACTTGAGATACTCCTGGCCCTATCAAACCCACACCAGATGTCAGCACATCCACAACGCCATCTCGTGGCACATCCCACCTATTCTTGCCCTGTCTGTCCTTCCACTCAAGCACACTAGACTATGTTATCATAACGTAACCTCCCCATCTCCCAATGATAAACCGTCTGATCAACCCCATGTTCCCCGTCCTGAAACTTGCATTCCGGATGCTCGCCTCCGAAGTCCTCCCAACGACAGACATGTCCAAAAAAGCAGTTTACACGTCGGCACGCGCCGCCATATACACAGCGTGTTCTCTGACCTAGAAAACACAACACGCTCAACACGTCCTCGGTGATCTCGCTATGATCGTATTGGCATTGGTCGCCGTCGCATCCGTCGCCCAGGTGGTAGTGATAGCAGCTACGAACTCTACCGTTCCGGCGTTTGTATTCGAGATAGTCGTCAAAGCAGTAGTCGGCGGGTCGTTGAGCGACATTTTCGTCGACACGCTGGCCCGATGCGTTGACGGGTACGTAGCCTGGTAGCTCGTCTGTAATCACACATTTACTTTCCCTCCTCGTGAATGCCTCAAGCTGATCTGGCCTCCGGGTAGCGAGGAGCGTAAATTGACACATTGGATCGTTGGGTAACTCGTCCGGTTCGTCTGTTGCTAGTCAGCCATACGGAGAATTCAACTAGCAGTATCCTCAAGGTAGGCCTTACCCTGTACGCCTTCCCTGCGCTTGCCATCCATCAACAAAAATATCTTCGAGTCATGAACCTCAGTCACGTCCTCACAGAACCGGAGCATAGCTGGTGGACAATCCCCGTTTTCCGCCTTTATAAGGACGTCTAGCCATAGTACGCAGAATTCTAGGTCGACATCTGGCAGCTTCTTCGAGTGCTTCTTGAGACAAGTACGCATGAGGGCTTCCAGCCTCGGACCCATATCGGCTTCAGTGTTGCTTTGGACGAATTCGTTGACATACTGGGTTCTGTTAGCATCTGGCTGGTAACGCATATTGGGTGTGTATAATTACTGGGAAGCTCATCGCGTCAATGTAGATGTAAACGAAGGGGTAAGGCGCCGTGGTTGGTTCGGTAGCCATGGTCGAGTCGGTCGCCATTGGTGAGTTCTGTGTAGCAGTGTGACCAAGGTACCATGAGGAAGTATATCTGTCTCTTGGATTATTCGTGAGGCTTGTTGTTCGAGCACGTGTCCAAGTCTCGTGTCTTGCACCACGTCTTTTCCAAATGATACCCGACGCTTCTGACCAAAACCGCAAGTGACACGAAAAAAACGACTTAACAACACTACCATACTTTCGAAACATCATGAAATTGCGCCTAGAGCGGCATGAACTACCAACCAACAGACCCATCCACCCGACAAACATAAAAAGAAAAGACGGCGAAAGCCCGGGATATATAACAGATAAAAGAAGCCCTTCCCACTAACAATATCTTACACACTCCTCTACAACATTCCATCTCTTCCTCCTCCTCTCAACCTTCTTCTCATCTGTAGCCTCCAAATCCTGAAGTTCCTTTAACTTCTCAAAGTCAATACTCTCCTTCTCCTTCTGCTCGTTCTTCTCTTTAGCCTCTTGTTCCAACTTAACCAACTCCTCTATATCTTTGAGTCGCGCTTCTTCCTGCTTTTGCCGATGATCCTCTTCTTCGTTGAGACGGCCTTGCTCGTTATCCTGCTCCAGCTCATGCAGCCACACGCCCTTGCCATCGTTGAACACCTCCTTGAGTTGGGGTAGCGTGCCGCAAACGCCATCGACTTCGCCCCAGGGTAGCCAGGTTTGCTCGGCTTCGGTCCATATGCCGCCTCGTCCGCCCCGGTTGTCCCAGTAGCGATCGCCGCCGACGAGGTGGTTATGGTAGCCGTCGGAAGACTGAGGCGCGCGGAAGTAGTTTCTCAGCATGGCACGTTTGTGGTCTGAGTACCACAGGTTGTCCCAGGTTATGTTGGCGGCTGGTGAACGCTCGCCGCTCGAGTGCGAAGAGCTGCCGAGGATGATGGCGGGGACGGAACCGGAGTAGGTGTTCTGGACCAGAGGAATGCTTTCCCAGGGTAGTTTCCGGCTGGGTAAGCCATCGAGCTCCAGCGTAAACTCTAGATTGTCAATGTATGCAGGCTTCTCGTTGGGAGAGGGGTTGTGCTCGACGAAGTCGGGGCGCCAGAATGGGGTCTTGGTCTCGTTGAGGGCGATAGGAAGGGTGAGGTAACGAGGGTCTGGATCGAAGTGGCTGTATTGCGATAAGTCGGTTGAGTTGTCGTGCAAAATAGGAACGAGTTCGTCTTCGACGCAGTAGTCCAAGGGTTGGAAGAGCGCATGGGTATAGTCCAAACCGACAGAAAACTCATGACGTGTAGTGTTCGAAAACTCAGCGCTGGCACGCTCCAGTCTTCGCTTGGCTTCTGAGGTGCTCGCTCTGCCCGTGAGGTATTCTTTGACCTTGGTACCGGTATGCTTCGATGCCACTTCCTCCGCATCTCTGCCCAGCTGCTGCTCGGCGAAGAGAGTCGCGAATACCGACTGAACGGTCTGGGACTGACTTCTCCCCTCCATAAACTTCTCCAGAGCAAACTGGTAAAGCATCTTCAAGTCGCTGGCCGGACCCATGACCATCTTGGAGTGAATGAACTTCGCCGGGGTATCTGATATGCGTCGACCGTTCTCGCTTCCGTATGTATTGTCCGAGAGTATCGACTGAGGTACGTATTTGCAGGCCATATCGTCGTTCTCACAGATCTTCTCTGCGCCGAACACGGTCGTCTGGTTGAACTTCTGGTAGCCCTCCTTGTTAACGCCATACTTCTTCAGCAGCCGCATGTTGGCGTCTGCCAAAAGCCTCTTGTACTGCGTAACAATCACATCGCTTGGCAGCTGGAACATCGACTGTTGTCCATCTACAATGAGAACCAAGTCATGGTCCTTGACCAGCTTCTCATTACTCAGGTAATGCAGTGTGCTGTTCAGTGTGTCCCTGTCCCATTTAACATCCGGCTCGTACTGTTTGTGTAGTTGTACCGCAGTCGGTGGAGGGTAGTGGAGAAGCATAGCAGACAGAGTCGTCTTGCAGAAACCATCGGTGTCGCGCTCGGCAGGCATGAGGAGGTGGAAGTTGGGCGTCGTCTTCTTGAGTTTCGGCGGTACGTGGTCGAGTTCGCCATTCTCGATTTGCAGCGTCGTGTTCGAGGGGGTCTTGAACGGCGAGTGTACTATGTCGGGCAGGGGCTGGAGATACGGTCGCCATGGGTAGTACGAGGAGAAGTTGTGGTATCGTGAAGATATGGCCTGTTGGAGTTAGCTTGGACCTCGCTGATGACGTTCAGATCTGGAGGGGTATGTCGCATATCTCGACGTCGTCTTCTCTGGTGTCTGTAGCAGTTTGTACGTACCTCATGATTCCTCATACCCGTCAGTCCAAGCAGAAGTGTGAGAAGTGCAATCGTCAAGACCATCATCCGCCCTCTTCGCGTGCATGCCCATTGTACGGCGGCACTCCCAAACTCTTTGGGCGACTGTGTCGGAGACATTGGCAATGCCAGCATTGCATCGCCTGCCATGGTGGGTGTGAAATGGAAAGAGCGATTCGACGACCTGTGACTCCCTCGCTGGAAGCGGAACTGGTCATACTTGGTCGACGGCCAGGTGGGACGCGCTTTCTGTATCCCCTCTGTGTGCCTTCCGTCTGGTGTCCCTGCGTTCCAAACGCCAGGGTCTCAACACGGATAGTCGTCGTCACACGTCACGGTCCGATCAAGAACGCGCGTAATCTCCACTGAGTTGCAGTTCTCTGTTTCGAAACAATGCCGCTGCCATGCTGCACGCGCGCGCCATGGCATCTCCATAACTGTGCGAAACATGCTGGAAACGTCTTGTGTGTAGTCCTTACATTTCTTAGAAGGAAGTTGAGTTCGAGAGAAAGTCAGCCATGGACACGATGATAGGTGTACCCCTGTCTGTCGCGTCGCGTCGCTAATCTCAACACGGGCTAGAGGCGGAGCCGCTTCGGCAGTCTTTGCTTTGCAGATCCGATGGATCATCAGGAACCTTCGTCATAATTGCCGCTGCACATGGCTGTTCGCATGTGAACTACGTGGGGATCCGCTTATGATTGCTGTAGCTTGGGCAACATCTCCAACAATCATCTGAAGAGATTTCAGGAGCTGCAAATCGATGCACCTACGATCTTCCAAAGGCTAAATCGGGCAGCTTACAGCTAGCTTCTTTTGATTTTCGAGGCTGACAGCAGAGAAATTGTGTGCTGATCTGATCATCCGTACAACCTTTGTGGAGAGTCGTACGACAACTGTGTCGCAATGGCTTCCGCTGTAATGGGAGTCGGTCAGACTCATCGATATACGCAGCAGCCAGTAAGGGTTCCTCGACACAAACCGTCAAGCTCCACCCCCTAAAACCCAGCGATATACCGATGCTTATCCGTAACCTCAGTGATCTCGAACTTCATGCCAACCCTAAGATCCCCCACCGACTTCGGCACAGCGAGCATACCATAGCAGGGCTTGTATGTGATTCCCTCGTCGATCCTCCTATATTTCATCAACGCATCCCAAGGCTGCGTCTTGTGCTTCTCCGCCGAATCAGGATGTACATTAGGCACCTGACAGCGCGCGCATCGCTGCGTGATATCCAGGACGATTGGCTTGTCACCAGCATCAGGCGTTATCTTGATCGTCTTCCAGCGATCTTCATCCCAGGGCGCGTTAGCATCACCTTTGACGAGGATGTTGGGTCGGAAGCGGCGGACGTCAATTGTGAGGCCTTCTGCGGCTTTGAGACGCGTGTTGAGTTCGTCGATGCTGGATTGGTTGCCAACTAGTACGGGCATCAGGTCGGGGAAACAGGTCGATGCATCTCTTCCTAGGACGCCTGGTGCACCGTTCGATACTAAAGGTCTGGGGTCTTCGGAGACAGGGGGCTTGTACACGAGCCGTACTTCCTTATCGAAGAAGCTGTTGAAGGGTGCGGTCATCTTCGTAGAGTACACGCGGGTTCCCGTTGTAGTACTCCATATCTTTGCCGAGTGCTCTTCGGTATTCTCGTCGAGCCATTCCTTAGATGGATGAGCCGGGATGGAGAACTCCAGCTTCTCATCGACAGAGTTTGGCGCTGGTGCAGTAACGGTAAGGGTATCAGTCTTCTCGTCGTAGGTTGGTCGGATCAGTGTCATTTTGGAGTTTTGGCGGATCGTCAGGAACTCGTAGTTTGGGTAGCTCACCCACATCCATTGACGATCTGGCTCTGTCAGCATGTTACATTTCTCCGATCTGACTTGAAAGGCGCACCGAGATCAAGACCTGTTGGCAAGAGCTTTGCGGACTTTACGCTGATGCCGTGGCATGACTTGATGGGGTGTATGAAGAGCCCTGTGATCTCCGTCGCTGCTGGCAAAGGCCCAGCATTACTCTTTGCTTGTTGGTTCTTGGTGAAGTAGACATATGTGAGAATGGGTAAGACAAAGATCGATAGCAAAATCGCGACCTGCGTAGTGGCTGGGAGCGCCATGTCGATGAATGTGCCGTTTGACAGCCAAGATGGACGGTTTGTGCAGGACCTCAGGAAGATGAGTGAACTCCAGGATACTTGCTTCACAAGTCGTTCTCTTGCAGTGTAGTAACCAAGCCCTAGAGCGGTTTTCTTCTCGTGTCGTGTACTAATGCAGATGTAGCTGTAGGGCGTGGTCTGACAAATTCAGAATCAGTGCATCGGTCCAGAGCAATGCCAGAGCAAATGTCTTGCCTAATCGAGTGACGCAGAGCGGAGTTTATAACTACACTTGACACTTGACGACAATGACGCATCGAGCGGGGAAGGCGTTCGCAACGTAATAGGCTAGCGCTGCCGAAATCTCGCGTGTGCGGCGTCTCCGCGGCAGTCATGCATCGCGAGAACGCGACCGCGACATCCAAACATGCGACCTCCTACAAACTCTCAGACCGCATCCTCTTGCGCGACCTATCATCATCACAATCATCAGACTCTTCCCCCTCCCCCTCCCGCACCCTACTCAACCTCTCAATCTCCCCCTCCAACTCAACACAATACCCATCCAAATCCTGCGCCTGCTTCACCTTTCCCTCCAACTCCCTCACGCGCTGCTGTAACCTGATATTTCCCTCCACACGTAGCATGCATTCCCTCTCCGCAGCATCAGCCCGTTGCTTCTCCTTCTCGACCTCGTACTCCGCGTCTTCCAAAGCACGACGGCGCAACTTCTCGGTTGTCTCGTATTCTTTGAGGTCGGATTGGCAGCTGAGGAGTTGCGAGTCTTTGTCGAAGAGGGTGCCGCGGAGTCTGGCGGCTTCGCGGCGGGTTTCTGTGCAGGATTTGGCGGTGCAGCGGGAGGGGGGTATAGGTCGGGTGGCTGGGGTTGGGGAATCGGGCTCTGATGGCTGGCGGTGAGGATGGGGTGTGGAGCAGTCGATTGCGCTGTCGGGGATGTGTTGCTCCCATTCTTCGCGCTCGCGCACGCGTGGGGTAGACGGCATTGGAGTAGCATTCGCCATGTAGCTGCGATATTCAGCCCCCGACATACCGACCTTCTCTTTTGGCTCGTCGAATCGGTCGTAGTTGTACGGGTACCGCTGGTGCAAAGGACCATTCACGGAGGCGGCAATTGCTCGCTCTTGTGGTGTGTACATGTTCTCGTATCGCTTCATCGCTTCTCGTTGGTACGCTACTCCCGTAGGCAGATCCGGATATCCTTGGTACGGGCGAAGCTTCTCGATCGTTGACAGAGTAACATAGGGCCAGGTCTTTGGGTCTCCCTTGTCGTAGGTAGGGATGGCGCGCTTTATGCTCGCATACAATCTTGACGAGACGAAGCTGAAGGTGCCCTCGTAGCGCGGAAGAGGTGCCATCTTGCGTCGCGATCGTGTCAGTCATTTGTGCTGCGCTGACGCCTATGCTTGACCTACCTTGAGAGTTTCTGACGAGAAACGTGGGGCGAGGTGCTGCTGTCGTCAATCGGAAGAGGCAGGAGAAGTGTTGCTAGCTACAGAGGTCGTTCGTCGTGATCAAACTTCCGCCCTTTCGGTTAGTCTGGAAGATTCGCGGTGAGAGGGCCAGCGCTCCTCGTTCACCTTCACCACGAGCCATCTTCACTACTGGTTGCCATGGAACCTTGCTATATTTCTCGTATTGACCGCAAGATCGTTAAATCTATTGAGGATAAGAGCATTGGATAGGGATATGAGACTGAGATGACACGCTACCGACAGGCCTAATGGACCAGGAGGCAGCGATAAAGAATTCAAAGCAAGACGGTTCCGAGATAAACTAATATGACGTAGTCGGGCTTTACTGAACCGGTAGCTCTACCCAAACTGTCGCATTCCCCAACTTTTGTTGCCGAACAGACCAGCATACGCTGATACCAATAACTCGACACGCGCACCCCCCTTATGTTGCTACCGCAATTCTCAAACCTCCTTCTTTGGCTTCTTTCGCGGTGTTTTCGCCAGGTCCTCTCCCGCTTTCCTCTTTAGGAGATCTGTACCCCACATCTTCTTCGTCAGTTCTTCTCGAATCTTCAAGATCTGTTGTTTAGCCATAAGTGCTTCCTGCTTTGCTGCGACCGTCTCTCGCTGTGCTGTCGCGATATTCTCATTGCTTTGCTTGACTTCAGCCTCGAGTCTTTCGATCTCTTTCCTGCTCTTCTCCAAGTCTTTCTCATGGTTAGCTGTAGCTTCTCCGAGCTCCTCGCTGGCTTTTTCTGCATCCTCCGCTCTTGTCTTCGTTTCCTCGTATTTCGATGTCATAGTCGCCAACAGTTTCTTTGAGTTGCTAAGGTTGGTGCGCTCTTGGCAAACGAAGTTGCGATAGTGTTTATTGTACACATCAAGCTGTTCGCGGACCTGTGTGGAGAACTTTCGGACCGAAACTGTGTATCTGTCTCTTATCACAGCAGCGTGCTTTGTCGCGCGACCCGCTCTGAGATTTGCCTCCAAGCTCTCTTTCCTGGTCTTGTCGAGTTCTTCTTCCAGTTCGGTTACTCTGCTGGAGGCTACTGTGTCTGTGCTGTCCAGCATCTTCATGATATCATTGATAGCTTCCTCAGATGAGTCAGTATCGGTAGTCGCGTCCAGGGTTGCGCTATCGACTGTTTTCTTGACATCCATCTCTTCTGTTGTAGTACGTACGCCACGACCGTAGTGACTCACCCATTCCTCGAATTCTTCAGGTGGTATATGCGGATATCCTCTCAGTTCGCCTTTAAGGTTGTAGTTGAACGGCCAGTAACGGAAGAGGTTCACCATCGACCCTTTTGTTTCATCGCCGCAACTATACTTCTTGCGTTGACCTTGGAGAGGTCGATACTGGTCGTTATCTTTCATGAGCGCCTGTTCGTACACTAGATACTCGGGAGGAACTTTGCTTCGCCCATAGTCTATACCCGTCTCCGTCGAAATGGTTGCACGCACCAAAGGCCATGTGCGGGGATCGTGCATGTCGTACTTTCGGGTCACAGTTTTCATGTGCATCCGCATGAAGTAGCCATCCCAAGTGAAGTCTCCACTCCAGCTGCCGCAGGGCTCGATGTCTTTGGAAACCATCTTCGGAGAATTGAGGTAGAGGATGGATAGACGTGTCGCTGATTTTGACCAAGACAAATTGGATGCGATTGTAGAGGAGAAGCTGATCAGCACATACAATCGCATCTTCATAACGACACGTGCTTTCAGTCGAAGCCCACGTAGTAATGTTGATTCCGCCGTAGACCTCACTCACTTGCACGCTTTTCGAGATGCGGTGAGATGCCGCGCCCGGCCTCTGTCGCTATCACGACAGCCAGTCAAGATGCGTCTGTATAGCAAATGCAGCAATGATCACCACAACATACCCATTCGTATCCTCCCCATACCATCACGCGACAAAACACCGCAGTGAGACACAAACCCGCGCCACACCCTCGGCCCGACTCGCAGGATGCGTTGCATGTGGGGGAGAGCGCGTCCACGAGGGGGCCAGCCTCACCAACCAGTCAAGCGAGACAGTGCGCTGCGGCACAGTCACAACAAAAAAGGACCGCCCCCGAAGTCTGACTCAAAATGCAGGTACACACCAAAGAGCGTGCGGCGGGGGCAGGCGGTAGACAGTATCGGTGACACACATGCAGACGAGGCAATAGCCGTCCGGGGATGCATGGTGCATGTGCAGTGTGCATATGCAGGAACGGGAGTTTGCAGATGATGTGTGTAACGTGAGTGACGACAGTGCATGGAGTGCCAACGTCGATGGTCGATGGCGATGCCAACCGTAACGTTCAGGTCAATGTCACAACGAGGAATGCGGAGAATGCAACAATCCACATTTCTAACGAGAGATTTGAATTTGATTACCGTAGTATATACCCAACGCCCCAACCGTGAAACCATAGTACCACAGACCCAGTGAGGCCGAACCCATGCCCACACCCTGACTCCAGCCCCCAGAAAAAGACACCCTATGCCTAAACGCCGCCAAAATCTACCTATAATGCAAGAGACAAGACAAGACAAGTCGCCATCGTAAGATGAGGGTATAGAAGTAAAAAGAACACCCATGCCGTGAGTGAATAAGTACATGTTCGGCCATCGCCCATACGAACAGTCTTGTGTCCTGCGTTGGAAAACGCTGATACATGAGGGGCGACAGCATATAGCGTGTGCGAAGACAGTCGTGATGGTGCCAGACATGTGGATCGAAAGAGTGAAAATTGCAGATGCTGTGAACATAGTGAAGATGGTAGTAGTGCGTGCATGTTGCTAGGACACTCAAAGGAAGATTAGAGTGTCGGTAGCTCAGCCGCGTGAAAGCAATGGCAATCGGATGAAGGAGTGACGTGATGCGACGGTGGTCGCGATGCTGGGCGCGGCGACGCCATGGTAGAGCTAAGCCTTTGCTGAAGTCTTCTTGACGGAACCCTTGTTGGAGACGCGGGTAGGTGTCTTGGGCGACTTGGCGGGTGACTTGGGTGACTTGGGCGACTTGGGTGTGCGGGCTTTGGCTGGGGTCTTCTTGGGCGACGGAGTCTTGCCGGGGAGCTTAGGGAGAAACTCGATGGAGGGGACTTGTTCGGTCTCCTTCTCTTCGAGCATCTGGAGGATGACGTCGACGATCTTCTTGACTTCCGCGTAGGTCTTGTTGAAGCCGAGCCACTGGTCTAGCTCGCGGAGGACGTCGATAGGCGCCTCGAAGTGCTTGCCGATCTTGGGGTGGACACTCTTCTCGGCTTGGTCATTTTTGGCTCCGGCGGCGACTTGACGGGAGTAGTGGTTTAGACGCGCTTCTTCGGACTTCTTGAAGGCGATGTCGTAGGTGGTGCCTGGGAACTGCTTCTCGATGACTTCGAACTGGCGGAGGATGAGCTGCACTTTGCGGATCTGCCACTTGGTCTTGTTGTAGGTCGCGCGCTGGTAGTGCTTGCGGCAGAAGAGAGGCCAGTCGGTGACGTCGCGGGTACACGCCTTGTTGCGGCCAAAGTGGTCGGAGATGACCTTGCGCGACAGGTCCTTGGTGTACTGGCCAGTCATGCAGCGGGTATGCTCGTCGTTCATGCAGAGGAACTCGCGCTGGGAATCGGGTACGTCTTCGCCATCGTCGAGAGACTCATCACCAGAGGCGTCGGGCTCGACCTTTACTCAGTTGATACTCGGTCAGTCTGTGGATTCAATGGTGAAGTGGTGACTCCGCACATTGCGCGAGATGCGTGCGGATGGGGGGGCTTTGCACTTACGACGTCGGTCATGACGGTGTCAGGAGTCTTGACAGTGGGCGATGAAGGCTCTTCCTTGGTCGACTTGGGAGTGGAAGGTGGTGCAAGTATGAGCGCCGAGGTGATGTCAGGAGAATCACTCGGGCTCTCGACGAGATTGTCGACAGACATCTTGTTGCGAATGGTGTCGGCTTGAGTGACCTCAGGCGTAAAGGTAGCGCCAGCGGCGGTGTCGGGGGTCTTGATCATGTAGTCGGTGGACATGTTGACTGAGTCCGTGGGTAGATATATTACTAGTAGAGGGACGACTGTTGAAGGACGGTCGGCTGCACTGCTGTTGACGGGAGTTCAGTCTGTTGTTAAGAAAGTCTCGAGGGAGGTGAGCGGAGGCGGGTTATAAGTGGGAGAAAGGGTGGGAGGCGGCGGTGCAATCGCGGCAGGCCGATGGGAAGTGAAGGTGACTCTCAAGTGACCAATTTTTACTGTTTGAACAGACCGCCTGAGCAACCCACCGTCACCTCAGGACGGACTCAACCACGTCCCTGACTATTGTCCGTGATTCACATGTGCCGTCGTACAATGCAACGCACTGCGGCCCGAGACCGCTCGACCGCTTGAGCCCCGCTGAACTGCCATCTGCCTGGTAACCTGGGCCAATGATGAGCCCGTGAGACTCGCGATACACGTCCCTGCCAAGACAATCGTTTGTTCAAGCCCTGGCCAGCCTTTTCTTCGAGCCGCGTATGACGCCTCGAGATCGCGACCCGTGTGAGTCCAACACTTGAAGATATTAATCATGGAATGGTCGGGAAGATGAAACAATCGCCGCAATCGCCAACCCGAGTGGCAACTAGGCAATATTGAAGCTGTGCCGCTACTGAAGGATGATTTACACTCAGAGTAGGCCCGCGGAATGTTGTTACAGTACCCACATTGACAGAATACGAACCAGGCAAACCTTCGAGTAGGGTTGAATGAAGTGAAGGAGTGAGAGGAATGGAGTCACGCATACGGTGATTGAAGCCTAGGAATGAAGTCTCCAGACGTGACATGGAAGTTCGAATACGATTGAGTCAAACGAATCCTCCACGCATCTATGACGGCCCCCAAGTGACTGTTAACCGACCCAACCGCGATGGTGTACGTCTAAGAGCTCAGAGTCGACAATCAGGGCTCGTGCCAACAGTTCGCCAGCCCGACCCTTGTGAAGAGACTTACTTGCCGAAGGGTAGATGTAAACGAGCATCTACGGCGTGGCATGAGTTGGTTCCCGTTCCCGTTCTAGTTCCATGTTGTCTAGGTTTTGATAAGTTTAGTGCCTTCCAAGGTTCCGAGGTCGTAACCGCGCAGCGCTTGTGTCGAGAACTATTGATCAAACACTTATGCGATCCAGCCAATCTAGAATGCGCAAATCTGATGTGCCTGGCGAGATACCGTATACGTCTGAGGCTTAAGGCCGGCAATGCTCCTCCACTACGATCTCCGGACCGAACCCAATTGGCTACGCCGCGAAGGATTCCAAGCTGCTATAGGTCGCATTCCGACGGCGGCTATGGGAAGTTACTCAATTGGCGGATACTCCTAAATATAGTGGAAATAGTACTAGTTCTTTTGCACTCTTTGGACTTGTGCCTTTGGAGAAATACGGGGCGAACCGCGGATCGGGGCCAAAAGCGTGCATGAGGCTGAGTCTCTGTGTTACTATTCGACATTTATCTCCGGGACTTTGAACTTCGAAACAATTATCCAGAGTAACACGACTGCATATGTCCCGTTGCATACCTCAGCGATACCGATGCGATCTGAACCGACATGGGACGGACGGTTACGAAAGGGATTTCCACGTAGAGGATAGCGGACCATGTCACGCGTGCGACTGCGGCAAGTACCAACACGGCCGGCGCGTAGAGTAAAGTAACGATGAAAGAAAGTTTGTTGTGGGTGTCTTATCTGGTCAGTACCGAGAGCATGGTAGCTCCGTATGCCCCGTGTGGTTGGGGAAGGGGAGACGGTTAAACTCGAGGGTGGTGATGGTGATGGTGGGAGGGAGATGGCACGATGGCTTATGTCACTATCGGGCTCCCGCCGATAACGCAAGTCACGTGCGCAACCCGTCAACAGACAGTGCCTAGCGTCTTTCGCGCTTGTAGCGTCAAGTGGTAGTGAGGAGCTCCTGTTCTGCGCATCGTCACGCTGCACAGCACCCACAGGCAAATCGCGGGACACGCCAGCAAACTACTGTTTATCGCTTGAGATGCGCCCACACGTCATTCCTACCACGCAACTTCTTTCTACACACTGCATCCTGAGCTGAGCGCGTCCGCGGCCACTTTCCTCGCCCTGCAACCCACGGAGCGCCCTCACAGCCACCATGCCGCCCACCACAGGCACTCGAACGTCTACGAGACAGGGGCGGGCCACAGTCCGACCTACCAACTACTATGCGCGCACCTTCGCCGGCCGGCTCGCCGCCAGCGGGATGGAGCAGACGCCCGAAGCGTCCAACAGCGCGCCCGGCTTCCTGCCCGCCCTCACACACTTTACCGGCGCCGTCGACGCATTCCCCAAGGAGATAATCAAGCACTTCTCCATGTTCAAGGAAGTCGAGGCGAAACTCCACGACCCAGAGCAGATGCTCACGGAGCTGCTTGACGAGATCGCCCAGCAGCCCGTCACCACCAAGGCGCAGCTGGCGGCTGTAGAACAGGCCTCTACAGCATCCGAAAACAATACCAATGTACGTCTTGTTTGAGCGCACGTCATTACCCCAGGCTCACCATTCGCAGCTCAACCCATCCAACCCCGACAGCCTCTCCCCCGAAGAGCAGGCGGCGATCCAGAAGCGCCAGCTCTTCTTTCGCCTCAGAATGCTCATCGCGAATATGCTCCCCACGCTCGACGAGAAGCTGGTAGTCCTCCAGGGCGCCAAAGCCACCAAAGACAAGGGCCTCATGCGCATGCACC